GCCCCCACCCACCATGGTTCTCAGCTTCTGCTCTGTGGCGGCCAGGGTGGAGGGCTAAGTGTTGATGGAGTGCTCGTATGCTGGGCAGCGTGCAGAGCGCTAACGCTCACTGTCTTCTTTCGTCCTTCCAGGACCTCATCAGAGGGCAGGGGCATGCTTCAGATAAGGAGAGTTGGGGCTCTGAGAACTTAGGTAACTCACCCATGGGTCACGGCCAGAGTCATTACTCAGCCACTCATGTGGGGGCCTTCACGGGTCAGGTTCATCTCCAGCTCTAAGACCGTGGACTGAGTTTGTTTTTTTCCAGGAGATATAACTGGTCTGACTCCCACTTTTTCCAGTGGCTAAAGCTTCTCCAAATTCCCCGAACATGGTTTGAAATGTTTGAACTGTCCCCAGCCACCTGGGTTATGGTCAGATGTCAGGTCACGTGAAGTCTAGATGGTTGACCTAGGAAAGCACCAAGCATTGTGCCCCGTAGACAGAAGTCATCATTTAGGGAGGTCGGCGGAAAAAGCCAGGGACGGCGGCTATTGGTTGGCTATGGGACTCTGCTTGAGTAAGTTAGTTTGTTTGGACCTCAGTTTCTCTCGTAGCAACATGGGAGTAATAATGTCTGTAGCTCACAGAAGTCTTTGTGAGCTTTGCAGAGTGGCCAGGCTTGTCCGAGGAGCATAAATGTCTGTTAGAAGGAAAGGGAAGAAGGTGTTTTATTGGTTTTCCACTAGAGGAAATGGCAGACAGGAAAAATCATCTGGGGCCAGGTTATTAAGTGTTTTGTATTCATGTGCATTGCTGCATAAAAGCATTTTGTTAGACAGTGCGGCTACATAGGTCGTGGAAAAGGATACCGTCTGTGGTTTCCACACAGGAACCTTGAGAGGGACTGTTACACTGATGTGGCCCTTCCTCTCTATGAAAACCTCAACATCGTGGAGCAGCCCGTGAACCTGAGCAGCCTGGCGCAGAAATATGCCGAGAAAGCGACCCAGTTCATCCAGCATGCAAGGTAAGAGTCCCTTGGCCCCCTGGGGCTGCCCCCCGGCCCCCACCCCCCATGTCCCCTGGCCTCAGCGCCCCTCCAAGCCATGCTGGAGTTCCTCTGCCCAACAAAGATGGACGCATGCATGTTCCCGGTAAATGAAACTAGAGAACAGTCTCCCCTGGAATCTCCAGGCCTGGGTTAGAAGCTCCACAGTTATGTTCTCTGAGTTTGCAGGAGCTTTCCCTGACCCGGCTCAGATCATGCTCTATTGTCATTGTCATTCTGTCCTCTCCTCTAAGCTCCCGGATGGTAGGGCCTGCTGCTGAGTTCCAGGCACTCGGAGCATTTGTTGATTCACTCGTGGGCCGGGTGGCTTAGCTTCGTCCTGCTGCGGTACCAAACTCAGCACCAGCTTACTGGCTAAAACAATAGCAGCTTATTCTCCTCCAGATCTGGAGGCTGGACGCCAAAATGAGTCTGATGGGGCAAAAATCAAGGTATCAGCAGGGCTGTCTCCTTCTGGAGGTCCCAGGGGAGGAATGTTTCTTGCCTCTTCTGTCTTCTGGTGGCTGCTTGTATCCCTTGGCTAAGGGCCCCATCATTCTAATCTCCGTTTCTATCGTCCCTTTGCCTTCTTGTCTACTGTAGCCAAATCTCCTTCTGCTCCCCCTTTTAAGGACACTTGTGGTTATATTTAGGGTCTTCCAGGTGAATCCGAGATAATCTCCCTATCTCCAGATCCTTAATTCAATTGCATCTGCAACGTCTCTTTCGCCATAAAAGGTAACACTCGCAGATTCCAGGGATGAGACCCCAGATACCTTTGGGGGCCATTATTCAATATAATGCACGGGGGTTACAAATTCCAGCATCTACAGGGCCCTGGTAGCTTCCAGAGGGAAGCAGGCTGCGTGTAAGGCGTTAGGGAGTGGTGGGGCCTGTGGCGAACTTGAAACACAGGCCCCCTCTAAGGGAGCAGCTGCTACCTAGCTCCGGCTGTCTGTGGCTTCTTTAGGGGATGGGAGCCAAGACTGTCAGATCCTTCTCTTTCACAAGACACACATGATACCTGGTCCATATGTGAACTCTCCTCATCTTTAAATGTTAGAAATGACTCATTAAAAATAACAAAACTTAGGGGCACCTGGGTGGCTCGGTCGTTAAGCGTCTGCCTTCAGCTCAGGTCATGATCTCAGAGTCCTGGGATCGAGCCCCACATTGGGCTCCCTGCTCGGTGGGAAGCCTGCTTCTCCCTCTCCCTCTGCTGCTCCCCCTGCTTGTGTTCCCTCTCTCTCGCTGTCTCCATCTCTGTCAAAATAAATAAATAAAATCTTAAAAAAAAATAACAAAACACGAAAAGCACACCCCTGGGTGTGCATGCACAGACGGTGGGGTGCAGGCCTGCGCCTACCCACGGTCGCCCCGCCTCGCCCACCTGGGCCTCGCCCTGACCCTTCACAGCTGCCTTTGCTCTGGCCTCTAACGAACCTGGGTGTGCGCAGCTCCTCTTTCTCCTAAGACTGCAGACTCCTCCAGGGCGGTAGGACATCTTCCAGCAGGTTCTTTGGTATTCCCTGCAGCCTTAGCCTAAGAGGGCGAGAAAAAACGTGTCGCATGCCTGTCTGCTTGTGCAGAATTAAAAACGGACTCCAACTGTGGCTCACTGAGCATATCGGTCCTTGAATGTAAAAGAATCCCCCCAACCCCTTGCTCAGCCACAGATGTTTCTAGAGAGCAGGGCAACAGGCAGAGCAGAGGTAGCAGTTTATTCTCGATAATAAAACCTACTTACGGCCTAAATCTGGAGAGCAGCCTGTTGGGGCTTCAGGGGTCCCAGCTTAAAAGTTTTTCGGGGCTTTCTGAGAAACACTGGCTTTTTTGTCAGGTGGCTGATATGAAACAGGCAAGCCCCTTCTCCCATTTGGAGAGTTGAACACGTCTGTGCTCCTTGGAGCTTCAAGATGATTCAGGTCCCTATACCCCGTGACAGGTGGTTGCTTCGTGACTGGTGGGGAGAGTTCAGTCCTCAGTGCTTGGGACAGCACAGAGCCTCAGAGGAGGAGGCAGCCCACTGGGGACGAGGGACTGCTTCATGCTCTCACGTGGGCACATGGCTGGTCACCCACCAGTTAACTAATCACTTCCAAGACACACAAATCCATGAAGTAAGCCTCCTTACTGTATGAAAAAGTTGAAGAGTTTGCTAATTTATTAATTAGTTATTAAGTGAAAAGTCACATGAATCCCATTGCCTTTTAACCTTACAGAAAAGAATCCTTAGGCACGCTGATTTCTTTAGGATTTCACTTGCCAATTCATCCGTGGTTTTTGGAGCATCAGCAAGAAAGGGCCTCTAGATCTGCACTCCTCCTCTGTGACCCTTGCCCCCAGGGCCAGGCCCTCCCCACACCTGGGCCTGTGTGTCAAAACTATCAGGAGTCCCAAGAGTGGGGTTTCCTGCTTCTCCTTGGCAAGAAGCTGTCCCTAGACTTCTTTGAAAGTTTCTACTTAGATCTTTGGTTGTATTTAGACCCTTGACCTGGCAGCATGCCCAAAGCTAACCCTTGATCTGGGTGTTTTAAACAGCAGGCCAAGCTCTTAGCTGACAAAAAAAGGAGAGAGTAGATGTCATGGACTCCTGGGTCATGGAGCTGCCAGTCCTCTTGCCCCCCAGGGTCTGGGACAGCACACTGAGCCTGAATAGGGAATATGGGGCCTGACAAGAATGAGTGTGCTGGGCCCAGGCTTGAGCAATAGCTTAGGATATCTGAAATCAGAGTGCATGGTCAATGTGGCAGAGCATTCATCATTCAGAACTAGGTCCCAGAGATACACAGGTGACAGACAAGCCCCCCCTGCCGGTCTGGGCTGGAGCCGAGGACCCGCATCAAGGTCTTGATTCCCTCCCGTACTTGACTCCTCGATCCCGCCCCTGCATTGCCCTCCCCCTGCTGGTCTGCCCCTCGCCCTCCATTCCCCCAGCGCCCACCTGTACCCACCAGCCTGCCACCTGCATCAGGGCTCCGGGTTCAGCTATAAGCTTGTGCCCACTCCCCCCCACCCCCTGCTTTCCCCTCTCTTCTGTGCCAATGCTCTGATGAATACAGAGTGAGGCAGAGAAGGAGCTAAGAAACAGCTGGGCAGTGGGACCTGGACTCTTCCTCTCCTGCAGCTTCTCCCCAGCGCTGTTCCACCTGCCCCCAATGGCCACCAGCACAGCCCACCTGTAGCCCACCGCCCCCCCGCCACCATCCTGTAGACCTCACCGTCTTAGGGATCTCTTGCCTCACCCCAAGCCCGGCTTGGTTCCCCCATTACACCATCCCACAGCACCCCGTGTGTAGTTCTTCTCCATCACTCCTACTAATTTGTAAATAAATATCTGATTCATTTTTTAGTTGCACTTTCCTCTCCTGTTTCCAATTCGATGTGAAGCTCCAAGAAGGTGGAAATCCTATCGATCATGTTCATGGCTCTATCCCTGGTGCCTGGGGCCTAGTTAGAGCTTAATAAATATTCCCTGAAGGAGGGAATAATGAGTGAGTGACTTTATCTTGCCCTATAGATGTCCCGGTGATGTGCTAAGTATACAGATGTGTGTGAGAGCTGTCCTTGCTTTTGAGTGGCTCGCAGGCTAGTAGGGAGACAGATTTGTATTATCAGTGCCGACGAGGATGGTGAGGGAAGGGGAGACAGGGTCAGGGAGCAGGAGACCATCTGTGGGAGACCTGGGAGCGGAGGATGCGTGTCGGTGGTGGCTTTTGAGCTGGATCTTAAGAATTGAGTTAAGTGTTTTTAGGCAAGATACCAGGAAGTTACTGCCAGGAGAGGAATAGCATGACCAAGGCATAGGAAGGCAGAAGGTGAGGTGTTTGGGAAGCTGGCATATAGAGAAAGAGTCTGTGAGCAGGAAGGAGGGTAACGCTGGAAGGGACCCAGGTTGGGGCCTCGAGTGCTGGGCTGCTCGGTTTGGCTGCAGTGGAGCCCCCCGTGTGCTTCTAAACAGGGAACTGGGTTCATGTCCGGGTTTGAGAACGGTGTCTGTAACACGGAAGCCCAGAGAAAGATGGAGAAATGTGTAGGCAAGTCCGTTCCAGAGAGACCCCTTGTCCGAGCCGGAAGCCAACCAGGCAGATGCCTACCCCTCCTGATTCCACCTGCAGGTCTGGCTCTCTGGCCAAACGCACACTGGGGACCTTTCATGAGAGGTCTTTCTATCCCAGATCAGATGATTTTGTCCAGATTTGGCTGTCCTGGGTTTTAATCTTCAGTACACCACCATGCCCTGCCCCATCCTCTCTCTCCTGGAATGTCCTCTCTGACATCTAACTTTTTTTTTTTTCCTTCTCTGCTCACTACTCCACTCATTTTGCCACACAATTCATATGTATCCCCTTTAGAAATCTAAAAAATCACCCTGAATACCACACCCCAGAGACAACCCCTTTTGGTAGATTTGAGCAAGTTCTTCTAGCCTCATTCTGTGCTGGTGCATAAACATACATATATACATATATATATATTTAACAAAAATGGAATCGTACTGTCTTATAATCAGCATTTTCTTTTCTAGAAAGCAGACTTCCTCCGGTCTTCATTATTATATTACTATTTTTATGTACAGCACAGGAGCATACTGAAGGGCTGGCTTGGGGGATAGTTGCGCCCAGGGAACCAGTGTGTGTGGTTTTCGCACAGTGCTATCTTTCTGAATTCCGGCATGGCATCAGGATGCAGGTAAAGAGGTACATCCCTGAGCACCACGCATCATGTATTATTCAGAACTGTCCATGAAAAGGCTGCCATTTATTAAGTGCTCCCTATAGACTGTTAATAATCACAGCTTTATCGGGGAGGTATAATCGTCCCCGTTGTAGAGACGACCGAGGTGAAGTTAATTGCCCAGGGTCGCACAGCCATGAAATAAAAATCCCAGGGATTTGGATGCAGGTCTCCAGAGCCTGTGCTTTCTGTCTGTGCTGTGCTGCTTTTGCTCAGCCTTGCACATGCCTCTCAGCCTCTGGCCTGGGGTGCTGACGGGACTTTGATAACGGGTGGGAGTTTAGAGCATAATGACGGGGATGGGACAAAGTGTGGGCAGTGGGACCTCTCCCGCCCCCCAACCTGGTAAATAAGTAACAACCAGCACTCTGGGGGAAAAAAAAGCCCTGATTTGGAACATTTGCCCATTTCTGTGGTGTGAATTGTCTCACGTTGGCTAATTTCAGGCTACCAACACGATGTCACTGAACGTGGAGTTGTTAAGAGATGCGCTAGAGGACACGGTCAGATGGCACTTGCACCACACAGATACAATAGATAATCTCAAGAGCATGCATGCCTAATAGTAAAATGTAGTGGAGTAATCAGGATGCGCTAAATCATAAGAATTTAGGACTTCTGCTTTTCACATGATTTATTTCATTGTAAGTTGATATCGTTTAATTTTTAATGATGGCCATGTGTAACAACTGGCTTGCAAAATTCCTGGATTTGGAGCCAGCTCCAGCCCGCATGCCGCTGCGGGGTGGTATCTACCTGGTGGAAACAGGCGCCCCCTCTGGGTGGCTGCTCAGCTCTGCCGGGGCGCCTAGGTTGGCCAGTGGACTGTGGGCTGGAATTAGGCATCTAGTCATTCTGTCAGCAGGATGTCCTGGTGCAGGACACAGCTTATACGACTGTACATTGTTGTCCCCGGGAGAGCAGGCAACAGACACCGAGTCAGCACTATCCAATTTTACTCTCCACAAGGATGAGAATGTTCTCTATCTGTGCTGTCCAAGATGGTAGCCACCGGCCATCTGTGGCTACTGAGCATCTGAAGTAGTCACCTTGGGCAACTGAAACACTGAATTAAATAGATGATATAGATCATATAATATATAGAATTCTTATATATGTATATATAGTGATAAATATACATGACATAAAATTTACCTTCTTAAGTGTACATTTCAGCGGCATGAAGTACATTCCTGTTGTTACACAACCATCACTGCTATCCGTCCGCACAACTTTTTTTCATCATCCCAAACTGAAACTCTGTACTCGTTGGATGCCAGTTTGCCCTTCCCTCCAGTCTCAGTACCCAGTGTTCTACTTCCTGTCTCCACGAAGTTGACCACTCTCGGGACCTTCTCTCGGTGGAATCCTATAGTGCTTGTCCCTTGGCGCCTGGCTTTTTTCACTTAGCCTAGCGTCTTCAAGGCTCATCTGTGAATTAGCCGGTGAGATACTGAATTCTTAATTTTATTTAATTTTCATTCCTTGAAACCTAAACAGCCACACGTGAGTCGTGGCCGCTGCATTGGGCAACGCAACCCTAGAAATGTCGCAGAGAAACTGTTGGTTAAGATGGAGGCGAGGCCCCTGTCGTGGGACTTCTGTCCTGAGTTTTATGCGTGTCGACGACGAGAGCTGAGTACAGGCACAGTCCCGATCAGGGGATCCCGGGAGTCGGGACGCAGGGGGCTCCGCAGGACGCAGTTTGAGGCAGAGCCGGGGAGCACTCAGAGGACTTGATGCAGGGTGATATAAATTGGGGTAAGCTAAATAATCGAGGGCCAACTTGAAAATCTTATCTCTGGGGGAGCTGGTGTAAAAAAGACCCACGCTTCTATCACCTCTCTGTACCAACTTAATTGGTCCCCCCCAAAGACACCTTCCCCCGAAGGTGTGGCCTGTGGGAGGGGGCTCCATGAAGGTCTCTGCTGCTTCCGAAGGGTCGGAGGGTCATAGGGTCAAGGCTGGAGGGTCGGAGGGTCAAGGCTGGAGTTCCGCAGCTGGCTGGATCCTGTTCCTTGCCTAGGGGTGGGGGAGGGGAGACAAACAGGAAGCAGAGACCACCCGGGCTCTCTCCACGCCCCAGAGGGGAATCAGCAGGGTTAGAACAGGGGCAGCCAGCAGCCTGGGCCTCTAACAAGGCCTTGATCTAGATATTCCCGGTGGTCACGTGCGTCCTTGGAATGGCCTGTGATCAACGCGAGTCATCCATCCATCTTCTGGAAAGGGCTGAGGCTGGGAATGGATGTGATGGCCTGGATGCTGCGAAAGAGCAGAGACAGTTTTAAACTATTGCAGTGACTCCCGGTTTTTAACTGGCTAACCGGATGACCTCCACAGCCCTTGTAGGGCTGTAGACCCATGTGTACTTCCTGAGTTCCCCAGGGCAGAAGGCATTCTGCGGCTTTTCTGTGAGGCAAAGGAGAGACACGGAGAGCCTGGACAAACCAGCAGAGCCTTCTGGAGATTTACCTCTTGGCTCTCCCGTTTCAGCACCAGTGGAAGGCCCTTCCTGCTGTACGTGGGCCTGGCCCACATGCACGTGCCCTTATCCAGAATGCAGCTCTCAGCAGACCCACGGGGCCAAAGGCCATATGGCGCAGGTCTCCGGGAGATGGACAGCCTGGTGGGCCAGATCAAGGACAAAGTCGACCGCACAGCAAAAGAAAACACATTCCTCTGGTTTACAGGTGAAGTAGTCAAATCCAGCCACCTCACTGAGATCTGATGGATAACCCTGCCCACACCCCATCTGAAGAGCAGAATCCGGCTAAGCGATCCTCTTTCACGGGGTAGGGGGCTTGCTTTGAACTTGGCGTCCTGCTAGTGTTTGTTGGCCTGAGTGCTGAGCACCTGCCCACTGGGGCCTCCAAGGCTGAGCCGCTGGAAAAGTTTGCACAGAGAGCAGGTACCCTGCTGGCCTCCTCTGTATTGATTTAGGGCCATCTGGGCAGTGACTTTGACACTGCAAACCTGTATAGTCCTCGAGTGCTTCTCAGGTTTCCTCCTCACCATCTTCCTGGTCCCAAAGACTCCAGTTGTCACCGGTCACCTTTTGGCTGAGTGGGCAGAGCTAGTGAGCTGTTTAAAGGGCCTACCGAGGCATTGTGGGTCCCGGGTGCCCATCTGGACCCGGGATGAAAGCACTGCTCTCGGGGCAGGCAGAGACCCGGGCTTGAATCTGTCCATTGCTATTGGAAAAGGCTCTTTACCTTCTCTGAGCCTGTTTCCTCCTGTGCAAAACTGAGCTCACAATAGCATCCACTGCATAGTGTGTTGGACAATCATGAGGTAATGTCAGGGAGGTGCGGGGTGCATCCTAGGTGCTCAAGAAAGAGCTGCAGGGCTAAGGACGGTTGTAAAACTAGATGAGAAGGTAATAGTATCTAAGATAAGAACCTCACCCTGGGGCTAGCTTGGAGCAGGGAAAGCCCACCTCTCTAAGAGCCCTCCAGAGGCAGGCCTCGTATAACAGGTCATTCTTCAGGGGCAGGGATCATATTTTTTTACAGTTTCTTCTCCTACTGAGACAGGGATATGGGATCAGGGAGGGAGAATCGGCAAAAGCATCCACGAGCCTATCGATCACTACATGTTGCTTCTTTTGGTTTCCAGGAGACAATGGCCCGTGGGCTCAGAAGTGTGAGCTGGCAGGTAGCGTGGGTCCCTTCACTGGATCGTGGCAAATTCATCAAGGTAGGGACTCAGCTGGGGTTGGTACATCCTGTAGGGGTTGCTGAGCCCAGGTCGGGCTGTGGGGTCTGTCTCTGGGATGACCAAATCCTATGCAGGCCTTCTGGCCATCATTACGAAACACAGACAAGTTGATCACCAGCTGCCAGCTCGTGGGGAAGAAATAAACTGAGAGATGAGAGTTTCTATTGAGCCTGGACCACCCCTTTCTTTCCTCCCTCCTCCCACCTCCCACCGCCCCCGGACTCCCTCAGGGGACTGGCCCTCAGTCCATGGACCTTCCAACTAATACACTTCACCTTGACTTTAATCCCGCTGCCCTTGTTTTCTTTGCTTTCCTTTTTTATTTTTTTCAGTCATCTCTCCATCCATCCAACCATGAATTCATTTCGTTCATTCAGGAAACATCCAGGGCATAAATACGCAAGGTTTTTATACACATTATCCCTAAACCTTACAATGTGGGAAGGTAGGTAGTAACACCTCTATTTACAGATGAAGAAGGAGAGCCTCAGAGAGGCTAAGAACTTGCCCAAGTGCACACAGCTTGTGAGGAGGGAGCCCGGCTTGCTCCCCCAAGTTAAAGTCAGTGATCTCCCCACCACACGACATTCTTTCCTTTCCAGTTAAACCTCCCTGAGCCCCCAGCTCAGTGCCCATGTGCTCTGGGAAAGCTGCTCCCCAAGGACCACCCTTTCTTTTTTTTTTAAGATTTTATTTATTTATTTGACAGAGCGAGATACAATGAGAGAGGGAACACAAGCAGGGGGAGTGGGAGAGGGAGAAGCTGGCTTCCCACTGAGCAGGGAGCCTGATGCAGGACTTGATCCCAGGACCCTGGGATCATGACCTGAGCCGAAGGCAGACGCTTAATGACTGAGCCACTCAGGCGCCCCAGGACCTCACTTTCTAAGACAGCTACTGGGCTGGGGACAATTTGGCAATAAGGACCAACGGCTTGGAAAATATACCTGTTGATGCCTCAGTTCTTCCTGATTAGGCAAGTAAACAGTGATACATATGAAAGTATGGTCATCGCATCGGTTTTAAAAAAAAACAGTTGGGGGGGCGCGTGGGTGGCTCAGTTGGTTGAAGTGAGATTTGAAGTGAGATTCTGTAACATGAGATTAACCCTGTTGATGTACAATTCAGTGGCACTGAGCACGTTCACTGCGTGGTGCAGCCATCACCTCTGCAGAGTCCCCAGACATTCCCCCCT